CACGAGTACTGGCTGAAGGTACATCATGATGCCTTCAGGCTCTGCTCAGTGAACACGAGTACTGGCTGAAGGTACATTATAACGTTATCATGATGTGTTCACATGTCATCTGTAAAATGTAGTTTTGGTGATAAACTAGAATGAATCCAGCAGTTTGAAGGAGATGTTTTCACATGAATATAAAACAGATATTAGAGATGAATTATGAGATGTTTAACTTCTAACACGAGCTATAAACACATTATTATACAGCATTAATAATAATAATAATAATAATAAAGAGATTAGTTTTAATATTTTATTTCCTTGTAAATTACTAAAACAAAGTCAAAGTGTAACGTTTAGTAGATGTGATGGTTTACAGACTTCAGGGCGGTTGAAATGATTTTTGGGACGGTGACAAAAACAATAAATTATTTTTAGAAAAACCGTGATCGTGGATCTAAAAGGAAACAACTTAGTGCGGTTTAGGACGAGATGGTCATTTGGGTTAAAATAACCAACGGATGAGCTGTAACTAAGTCACGTGACAAATAAATGGACGTTGACTTGTTTCACACGAGGAGCGATCACCGTTTGTTGGACTTTTATACTTCCTCGTTCATGATTTCGTGGATAACTTACAAAATGTTTCTGTGAAATGTCTACGAACTACGCTGCGTTAGTATTTTTCGTTGGTTTAGCTACGGATGCTGGATGAGGAACATTCTCAGTGAACTGATTGAGTTTTGTTGTCGGAGGATTATTTATAAAAAAAACTTGTTTTTTTTTCCAGATCCTGGCGCTTCGTCTCCTTCAGGCCGTCCTGCCCTCGTGGGACAAGACGGAGCGCTCTCAGGACATGAAGTTCCTGGTGGAGAAGTTGTTCAACTTCCTGGGAATCCTCCTCAGCACCTGCTCCTCAGACCTGCCGCTACTCAGAGGTACAGTCACCAATCATACTCTAGTCTCCTTTTAAAAACATCATGCATTTTTTAACATGTGGTGTTAAGCTGCTGCTTCCTCTGCACAGAGGGTTCCCTGCGAAGGAGGAAGTCCCGCCCCCAGGCGTCTCTCACAGCCACTCACAGCAGCACGCTGGCGGAGGAGATCGTTTCTGTGCTGCGTACTCTGCACGCTCTCAACCAATGGAACAGCATGATCAACAATTACATCAACACTCAGCTCAGCTCCATCGGAGACGTGATGGCAGGCTGCCAGTCTGAAGCAGTGAGCGTTATCTAAGCTTTATAGGTTCAGTTAGTGTGTGTGTGACCATGTTAGTCGTAGATGTGACTACTGTCGCTTTAACTCACATTAGTGCTTTTATTCTGGCCTTCTTGATAAAACGTCTCCTGTCTCTCTCTCTCTCTCTCTCTGTCTCTCTCTCCCCGCCCCTCTCTCTCTCCCCCCCCCCCCCCCCTCTCTCTCTCTCTCTCAGTGCTTCCTGGAGGAGTATTTCCCTGACTCTGACGCTCCTCGAGTGGGCAGTCTGATGGCGGTGATGGCGGTCATTGGAGGAATCGATGGGCGCCTCAGACTCGGAGGCCAAGTCGTCCACGAGGAATACGGAGAGGGAACCGTCACTCGCATCACCCCGAAAGGACGAATCACCGTCCAGTTTCACGAGATGAGGACCAGCAGGGTTTGCTTGCTCGGTCATCTCAAACCGGTACGGAAGTGTTTGGATGCTCACGTCTGTACGTCAGACCAATGAAATACTGATTGTCTTCTTCTGTGGTGGTGGTATCCCGTAGCTGCCCGCCGTGTCCTTCAGCGTGCAGAACCTTCCCTTCTCTGAGCCCATGCTGGTGGTCTGGGCTCAGCTGGTCAGTCTGGCTGGAAGCAAACTGGAGAAACAACGCATGAAGAAGTCCGTCAGTCGAGGGCTCACAGGTAAAGAGAGCCACGAGAGGCTCATGAATATCATATCAAATAGAAAACAAGTGAGTATTTAGACTAATGTCTGTCAAAGTGCCCTGACGATAAGAACCTTCTTTCTAAGATGAATGATTCTTCTTTACAAATAACCACGACGTGAGAAGCTTTCGGTCTGCGCAGGATGTTTGGTTTCGTGCTCCAGTGGATTTAATCAAACCTCTTGTGTCTCCAGCCGACCAGGTGGACGTCCACCTGCTGCGCTGCCAGCAGCTGAGGCTGTACATTCTGAAGGCAGGACGGGCTCTGCTCTCTCACCAGGACAAACTCAGACAGATCCTCTCACAAGCAGCCGTTCTGGACATCGGACCCAACCCCAGCGGTAAGACAGTGAAGGGTCAGGAGAGTCTTTGCTGCTTACTCCAGTTTTCTATGTGGCGGTCTCAAGATGGGCAACATGTAGTTATTGTGGCCTTTTGGTTCAGTTCTGAAGATGAGCTGTGTTTGCACAGTTAGCACAAACTCTTTTGATGCAGCCTAGCAGCTCCTGTGTGTCCATTCCTTCATTATCTGGACTTTATTCTGCTGTCATCTTTGTCGGTTCTGTTTGGGTCCTTCTCATGACCCCTCTGTGTTGTTTCTTTTGCAGAGGACCCGGTGGTGTCCTCTCCTGATGTGGGAGACCTGTCCCCTGAGGGTCCTCTGCCTCCACTGATCCTGCTGCAGCAGCTGCTGTCTGCTGCCACCCAGCCCTCACCCATCAAAGCCATCTTTGACAAGCAGGAGATGGAGGTGAGTCCATGGGCCTCGCTCTGTGTCAGCGTTGTTATTGCATACGTTAGGCTGCGTTCACACCTTTCAAAACCTTTCAGTTTTCAAACGCATTTCTTTTGCTACGTTTAGTCCGAGCGTCCTCACGACTAGAGACACTAAAACAGATGTTTGAAAACGCTGCCGACGGCGTGTTAGTTTATAAACTCTGGGGTTGTGTCGTAGTGACGATGACGAAAACACCAATGCTCACTTCCTGTCTCATCAGTCATGACGTGTCCTTCTCTGATTGGTCACGCAGACAGAAGAAAACAAACATCCGCCTCCGATCGACTAGCAGGTTAATTCAACATGGATAACTAAACCTTGTTGTCTTTACTAGCAGCTGTTCAGTTAAATTCTGCATTTATTTAATTCTACTCCTGCCAACATGCGGAGGAAGCAGCTGTTATTGGAGCGAGCGGTGTGTCCAGTGGTGTTATCAGACCTATGGAGCGATGTCTGACGGTTGGAGGCTTTCAGGAAGACGACGGACACAAAACAGAGGACTTTCCTTTTCTTATTAATGCTTATTTTGTTCTGCTCAACTATTGTAAAGTTCACACAAACTGTAAAGGAACAAAAGCATAAAAGCTCTCCAGTACGACAGACTTCAGCCTCCAGCAGAGCTACGAGCGAGAGAACAGACGAAATGCCTTGATGTGGGTGAAGCCTCGGAGAGCTGGTGTGTTGGCGTTGGCCTCAGCGTGACCTGTGTGTCTGTGTTTCTGTAGGCTGCAGCTCTGGCAGTGTGTCAGTACCTCGCTGTGGAATCCGCCCACCCGTCCTCGCCACTGTTTGAGGAGAGCAGCTCCAGCGAGGCCACCACGCCCGTCACCGTGCAACACGTCCGACCCCCCAAACAGAAGAAGCAGAAGACCTCCCCCGTGCCTCCCTTACCCATCGTCCTCCAGCTCATGGACATGGGGTTCCCGCGGAAAAACGTCGAGTTTGCCTTGAAGTCGCTGTCTGGAACGACGGGCAGCGCCTCTGGTGTCCCAGGTAAGAGTTCACTGTGACACAGTCCTGAATTTCCCTTCTAGCTAAAACCCACAATGTGATTTTCATACCTGAGACGTACGTAACTGAGTGTCTCGGTCAGGTGTGGAGGCTCTGGTGGGCTGGCTGCTGGACCATCCAGACATTCAGGCCACCGAGGTGTCGGACGCCGACACCGTGTCCGATGAATACTCTGATGAGGAGGTGCTGGAGGAGCTGGAGGAGGCCGAGCCCACGTTCCCCGTGGTACATTTCTGTCCTCTTTTTATTCCCTCCACAACAACAACAATAATAATAATAAGGGAGTCACTGGTCTGTCAGATTGTCCTGATGACATGATTAATAAGAGCGTTGTGTGTCATCAGCCTCCAGGTGCGGTGGTGACTGAGAGCCAGACATTCAAGAAGAGATCGGATTTCCAAAGCAACGACGACTACGCTGTGTACGTGAGAGAGAACATCCAGGTAAGAGACGCAGCCTTTTCCTTTGATGAAGGAAAGAAGGTAGTCCGTTCCACAACATCAATATCATTTACTGTGATGTGACCGATCCCCGACTGCTCTGCAGGTGGGCATGATGGTGAAGTGCTGCAGAACGTACGAGGAAGTGTTCGACGGAGACGTCGGGAAAGTGATCAAGCTGGACCGGGACGGGCTTCACGACTTAAACGTGCAGTGTGACTGGCAGCAGAAAGGAGGAACCTACTGGGTCCGGTACATCCACATCGAGCTGCTCGGTGAGCGCACACGGTTCTGATGATGGCGAGGAGAGCGAGTGGCGGTTGTTGTTCTCTTCACCGTTTCACATGTTTTGGGTCTTTTCTTTGACTTTTTCCAGGATTCCCACCTCAAAGTTCCCCCTCTCATATAAAGATCGGTGACAAAGTGAGAGTGAAGCCCTCCGTCACCACACCCAAGTACAAATGGGGCTCCGTCACTCACAGGAGTGTCGGGGTGGTGAAAGGTAAGCTGCTCTCTGAAGCCTTTTCAAATTGATCTTCACTCAACGCTGCTCAGATCACCGGAAACAGTGCCAGCCGATACCGAGCTCTGATCACCTTCTATTTATTGTGGACCATTATTTATTCATTTAACTATTCTTAATGAACTTTTATATTTATTGAACTAGTCTTAAGTTAATGCGTGCCCGGCCATAAAACCCAACTATTCTTAACAACACTGTGCATAAGAAGTATTAAAATGAAGAGCGATTGGGAAGTATGTGTTGACAACTGTTTATTAATTGTCGAGCAACATGTGCAAACTATCAGCCTCTTTCACACAGAGGTCCTTCAGTGCGGCTGTAAGTAAAACACCTCATTACTCAGACCTTCCTTTGGCTTTAAAGACACGACTCACACCTCCAGTGAAACTCTTTCAGCAGCATGAAGAGAACTTGTCCCGTGTGTTTTGGGTCATCTGATCCGCCTTTTATATCACCGATCAAACTATTCAGAACGATAACCGTTTCTTTACTTTTTCTGCTGTTCACAATCTGACCAGACTCCTCCGTTAGTGATGTCGTCGGCTGTTTAATCTTCTGTTCTAACGGTGTGAATGTTGTGTTTTAGCTTTCAGTGCCAATGGGAAGGATGTGATCGTGGACTTCCCTCAGCAGTCCCACTGGACCGGCCTGCTGTCTGAGATGGAGCTGGTGCCCAGTGTTCACCCTGGAGTGAGGTCTGAATGTGTTGAAGCTTTCTGTCTGATGTTAAGCCGCTGCGTATCTCAACGCGTTGTTGACATGAAACCTGTGTGGTCTGCAGGTGTGACGGCTGTCAGATGTTCCCCATAAACGGCCCCAGATTCAAATGCAGGAACTGCGACGACTTCGACTTCTGTGACAACTGCTTCAAGACCCGCAAACACAACACCAGACACTCCTTCGGCAGAATCAACGAGCCGGGTTAGTTGCACGCAATGCATCTGTGATGTTTCTGAAGCCATTTTACTCGCATGAACTCCGGACAACGTCCAGAGAATCAGGTCTGGACTTGTCCGTGTCGAAAGAGTTCTCAGCTGTAGATGCTCAGATTTCACCGCGGTCACGTAGCCGGTTCATGACTTCATCATGAAGCACGGATTAAATGCGATGTCTAGAGCAGTTCAGGCTTGTGTGTGTAAACCCGTCTCTCCTCCACATTCAGGCCAGTCTCCAGCGTTCTCCGGCCGCTCAGGAAAGCAGCTGAAGAAGCACCAGAGCAGCCAGCGCGGGATGCTGATCGACGATTGGTCGCGAGCCGTCAAGAGCCTCAGCGTGTCGTCCTCCGTGAACCAGGCGGCGCGCCTCATCGACTGCAGCGATCAGTGCTGGCAGTCCTCCGGCTCGCAGGGAAAGGCAGGAGATTGAATTTCATACTCATAAGTCTGTTTAGTTTGGCTGTGATTTAAGGTTCTGAAGCATCACCTGACTCTGATTCTTCCATTCTTTCTTCCTACAGCACTGGGTCCGTCTGGAGCTCTTCCCAGACGTCCTGGTGCACAGGCTGAAGATGGTGGTGGATCCGGCAGACAGCAGCTACATGCCCTCACTGGTGGTGGTGTCAGGCGAGTTTCATCATTCTGCTTCTTCTAACCCTTTTGCGTCACTCGGGATCTTTTTACATTTAACATTATTAGATGGTTTTGGCTGCATTTGGCTTCAATGTTGGGAAGCGTGTGAGTTGTTTTTGTTTGATTTTGGACATCGAACCGCCGATCCTATAATAAGTTCATAATAATGTTTATATTCTTCTGTTTGCTCCTCTTGTGTGAACAACGTGGTGTTTCTCAGCAGTAATATCTCTTCTTCATATTCAGGTGGAAGCTCTTTGAACAACTTGATCGAGCTGAAGACGATTAACATCAATCCCACCGACACCACCATCCTTCTCCTCAGTGACTGCACCGAGGTCAGTTGACTGAGACGTGGTTCTAATCATTGTTTATTACCTTCAGAAGCTTGTGTTTTAATAATATGATAATAATATGATAATAATGATGTCTCTCCCCCTCCAGTATCACAGATACCTCGAGGTCTCCATCAAGCAGTGCCGCAGCTCCGGTATCGACTGTAAGATTCACGGGCTCGGCATCGTTGGACGCATCCGAGCGGAGGACGAAGACCTGGCCACCGTCCCCTTCCTGGCATCTGACAATGAGGAAGAGGAGGATGACAAAACCACCACTGGGAGGTATGAAGGGACGAAGGAGCAAATGTTTCAGAGATGGTCTGTTTCTATATAGTTATTCTGAATGCTCGTCATCGGGGCCACCGGGTCGCAGCCTTGGACCTGCAGTCGGAGCCCCGGAGGGACGAGGAGAGCTGAGCTCCCGACAGCAGCAGTGTCTCCTCCTCCTCCTCCTCCTCCTCCTGCGTTTGAACTATTACATGAGCTATACAGCGATGTTTACTTGAACATGGCTGTGTGTTTCTTTTTAATCTTCCAATAATCGCGACGAGAGCATTAAGATGAAGATGAAGTGAATTGTTATCCAGGACCTCTCTGTGTGTTTCCTTCAGTCTCGCTCGGAAGAAGTCTTCAGGTTTGGAGTCTTCTGCGACCATCAGGACCAAAGTGTTTGTGTGGGGCCTGAACGACAAGGACCAGCTGGGAGGACTCAAGGGCTCTAAGGTGCAGCTTGTTGTTTATTTGATGCCTTAAGTCCTCTCCATAGAGCTTTAGTGTGAGCTTCACATATGAAGAGAAACGTGTTTCTATAGCTAACGTTAATGTAGTGGAGGAAACGGTGCATTATTTCCCTTTTTAAATGTAGTAAAGTAGAAGTATAAAGTAGCATGCAATGGAAATACTGTGCTGGCTGCTAACAGCTAACTGTCTCTCCTCCTGCTGATGTCAACACAGATGTGTTGTTCACAATGTTGCATGATCAGGTAAACAGCAGGGTGTGTCCCGCCAGGCTTTTATTAGTACCAGACGCACTGAAACACGATACAGCGTGCACGTGGCGTTACGTCGTCGTGCATCGGTGAGAGAAGTCCACAGTCATGAAGACATTTCAAGGAACCGGTTCTCAGTTCCCGTCACAATCGAATACAGATCTTAACAGACTTACTTCCAGTTTATCAGACCTGCCACTCAGTCCAGTGTTGTCGTATTGATTATGTATCTGTACTCATTGATAAGCTCATGAGAGGATGTGTCCGAAAGAGTAACCAGCTCTGAAGCTGCTGCGTCTCTCATCACTCTGGTTTGTGTCTTTCCTCAGATCAAGGTTCCGTCCTTCTCTGAAACGCTCTCTGCTCTCAATGTGGTGCAAGTAGCCGGCGGTTCAAAAAGCCTCTTTGCAGGTTGGTGATGTATATCATTGGAGTTTTCTGTATAAAGCGTGCATGTTGTTGTGGATGTGAGCGTTGTGTCGCTGTCTGCAGTGACGGTGGAGGGGAAGATCTACGCGTGTGGAGAGGCCACTAACGGCCGGTTGGGTCTGGGTCTGTCCAGCGGGACCATCCCCATCCCCCGACAGATCACCGCGCTCAGTAACTACGTGGTGAAGAAGGTCGCCGTGCACTCCGGGGGCCGCCACGCCATGGCGCTGACCGTGGACGGGAAGGTGTTCTCCTGGGGAGAGGGAGATGACGGCAAGCTGGGACACTTCAGCAGAATGTATGTTAGCGTGTCTCTCATATCCTTACTGTGTGTTATCTTAGTCTGCGTTTTATTTACATTCAGGACTTTCATTCTGAACCACAAAACAGTTTTCTGGGTGTTTTTTGCTCCGGACACATTTTACTCAGTTTTTCATTACAATATAAAGTTCTATAGAACCAGAACCATCATGACTAGAAGCAGAGAGAACGAGAACATGTCTTTAATAACACAGTTATAGTGACTCCTCTTCTCTTCCTCTTCCTCTCTCCTCTCTCCTCTCCTCTTCTCTTCCTCTCTCTCCTCTCTTCCTCTCTTCTCTTCCTCTCTCCTCTCCACTGTCGGAAAGATGAAAACCTGACGATAATGACGTTTTTTACAGCTTCTGGCTGAGAGGAACGGTGTAGTTTTGGCAATTGTTAAAAGTCAAAAACATGCTTGCGATGTGTTTTGGGGCTCGGAGGGTTCATTATTGTCCAGAATGTGAATTCTTGAATCCAAAAGTCTGTTTTTGTTTCACTTCTCCCCGATGCAGCTTTATGGACTACTTTCTAAAGACGTGATTAAACATAAGTGTGTGAAATGTATTTTTCCGTCTCAGGAACTGTGACAAACCTCGGCTGATCGAGGCGCTGAAGACGAAGCGCATCAGAGACATCGCCTGTGGGAGTTCTCACAGCGCCGCCATCACCTCCAGCGGGGAGCTGTACAGCTGGGGTTTAGGGGAATACGGCCGCCTCGGACACGGAGACAACACCACGCAGCTGAGGCCCAAACTGGTATGTCTGCGCCCAGTCACACAGTATAAATGATTAATATAGAAGAAGATAAAGTAATGAATCCACCAGTAGCTCATTTTACTCTTTAGTCTTTTCTGTTCATTTAAAGTCTGTTTGCATAAATGATGTTTGACCAGTAGAAGCTCGTTGAATGTGGACTTGATTGATTGTTTGTTGTATTTCGGGTACGTCCTGGTTCATTGTTGATGAAATAATGAATTATGAATCTATGAATACTTACATTTTGATTAAGTTTAGCTCGTTATGGGCTCATGAAATATCATTTATTTTTACAGTCAACACTTGCAAATGACGAGGTAGCAGAACATGTAAACTATACTTTGGTGTTTGATTTTTACCTCTTTACTTAAGATTTCATTAAACAACGAGGAAGCTCTTAAATAATAACAAGAATACATATGAACATTTTAAACATCGCACACTATCACTAAACGTGTTCACAAGAGAAGGTTTTAATCCTCCAATGATTTGGATCATGAAACTAGTTTTGTTGAAGTGTAATATGAATACTAGATGAAGTATGGAATATGGCTCTGCAGCTTAATGTTTAGATCTATTTAATGATGCGTGCTTTGCATGTTTACATTTATTTGTAATAGTGCAAATATATATTTAAAGGTTTTGCACCTAATTGGCTGAACGATGGAACTATCAAACTAACAGAACTCATCTCTGCAGAGATGCATCAGCCTCTCTGAAGACGGGAATCTCTGCACATTCTGAGAACAACTTGCAGGTTTATTTCTCTGCTCGCCCCCGTTTTACTTTGAGCGAGCACCGATCGGTTGAACCCATGAGTACTGTGAAGTGAGTAAATTGACCGTGAACTCCCTTCTTGCTGTGACCTTTGTCCTCCAGGTGAAAGTGCTTCTGGGACATCGTGTGATCCAGGTGGCTTGTGGGAGCCGAGACGCCCAAACTCTGGCCCTGACTGATGAAGGTACTCCTGTTCCTGTACTTACAGGCTTCCTCTCAGTGTCTCCGAGCTCTCTTTCTAATGTTTCGATGACAGCACATCACCAGCGTTGTGTGATGGACTGACATCGCTGCTTTGCTTAAGTCTAGTCTTTGTCTATTTGTTTAACGTAGTTTCTTCACCATGAACATCAGACGGAGGAGGTCCGCTTCATTCTTCGTATAGATGAGCTTCATAAAAGCACAACTCGGTGTCCATCCCACAGATCTGCTCCCACAAGCTGAGGTTTTTGTAATGAAATATAGATATAAATAATAAACATGGAGCTCAGGATAGACAGACATGGCCAAAACAAGCTTCTCTTCCATTTACTCCAGTGATGTCACCGGAGCTCTCAGAAGAAATAGCGCCTTCTTTTCCCGACGGCCTCATTGTCTCTCTGATCTTTGGGAACAATTGAAAAAAGACTCTTTGTGGACGTTTTCTTCTGGCTCAGATGGATGCGTTTCTCTTTGTACTCGGTAACGTGTGTTTTATCTGTTTATTGTTTGTCAGGGTTGGTGTTCTCCTGGGGCGATGGTGATTTTGGGAAGCTGGGTCGCGGAGGCAGCGAAGGCTGCAACATCCCCCAGAACATCGAGAGGCTGAACGGGCAGGCCGTCTGCCAGATAGAGTGTGGAGCTCAGTTCTCTTTGGCCCTGACTAAATCCGGAGTGGTGTGGACCTGGTGAGGCGGACGAGAGTGACACGGTGACCGTACGACATCATCAGTTCCCTTTTTCTGTCTCCAGTGAGTGCTCACGGTTCGTGTTTCCAAACAGGGGCAAAGGCGACTACTTCCGACTCGGTCACGGCACCGACGTCCACGTGCGGAAGCCCCAGATGGTGGAGGGGCTGAGGGGGAAGAAGATCGTCCATGTTGCTGTTGGAGCGCTGCACTGTTTGGCTGTTACAGAAACAGGACAGGTTGGTTCTGACCTCACCGGCTCATTAGTTCGGTTCACTATCGATACTCTGATCGGTTCTTTTTGATTATTCTGTGAGATAGAAAGAAAAGAATCCACAGTTCTTTATTGTTCTTGTATGTAAACAAATAGACTTTCTTGAGCAGCAACACAAGAAGTTCTAAAATACGAGGATGTCTCACTCCAGAACTTCTGAAGCACCGATAGCAGAACCGCTGACTCTGGACCTCATCAGTACTAACGGGTTTTTACTACTCTAGAACCGGTTCCTGTTTAGAACTGGGTTTCAGGGGTCCCTAGTCATCAGACTATTATAAACCAGATATCACATAGTTCATTCACTGTTTATCGACTCTCACACCTCCGACCTCAGCGTATAGAAGACGTCTTACAGCAAATGAAGTCATGTTCTCACATCACTTCATCATGAGAGGCAGCTGCTCTATATTTCACCACTTTATTGTGTTGAGATTGAGTGCTCGGAGCGACGCCTTTTACTTTCTCTCCCTTCAAGGTTCCCACACGTTTCAGCAGCGAATCTAAACGTGTGGGAAATGAAGTTGATGGGTTTTCTATTTTACAACAGCCGAAAGAAACCTTGAAGGCAGCACAGGACCTTCTGTTCAGCTCTAAGACCTGTGAGCCTGTAGGTCATGCTGTTGTTGTTTGTCCGTCAGGTGTTTGCGTGGGGGGACAATGACCACGGGCAGCAGGGGAACGGCACCACCACTGTCAACAGGAAGCCCACGCTGGTTCAGGGTCTGGAGGGACAGAAGATCACTCGGGTGGCCTGTGGCTCCTCCCACAGCGTGGCCTGGACCACCGTGGACGTGACCACGCCCTCGGTTCACGAGCCGGTGCTGTTCCAGACGGCCAGGGACTCCCTCGGAGCCTCGTACTTAGGTAATCCTCTTTTTTCCTCACAGCCCATTACCACTGATCAGCTCTCCGGTCTCTGGTTTTGGTTGTGATGGTTGTTTCTGTAGCAGCTCTGTTCAAACGTTCCTCACGAAGGAACAGCTGTTCTGTTGTTGTCGGACCAGGAACTCTATTTCAGTGATTAAGTGTGTGTGTGTGTGCGTGTGTGTGTGTGCGTGTGTATGTATGTATGTATGTATGTATGTATGTGTATATATGTATGTATGT